ATGTAAAACGATTCGAAACGATTGGCATCCTTGATGCGATATAGAAAAGGTTGTATAATAAATTTCGTATCGCGAGATCGCGTTGTAATAGAAAGATCTGGTAGCTATCGCGACTGTTAAATAGATCTTTCCAGTCCAGTCTAGTTTTAGATCTCGGGCGGAGCACGTACTCGCAGGAGAGTCGCTTTTGCATCCTGTCTGCGTCTCTCGTGTTTGTACAAAAGAAGAAGTCTCGTTCGACTATCAACCTTGCATTAGTACCAGTCTAGTGTCAAATTTGTTTTCGATAAATTTAGATCGGAAAATTAGACACGGACCGAAGTATGCGCAGGGAGAAGAGTATACACGGTCCCTGAGGTGCCACGCCAGTTGTTGGCAATTTTTCAAAAAAATGTGTCATTCTATTGTCCACTCTATTTACATTTCATGGTAATTTACACTGCATCGAGAAGCCACATCGTATCTGCCACGAGTTTGTAAATCGAGATGCTCCTCACCTGACTGGTGATCATATTCCCCGATATATCTTCTTGTTAGAAATCGTACCGTCAATGCTGGAATTCAAGAACAATATACGTCGTTGAAACATTGTTATTCTAGGCGATCTAGAAGCGATTGTGAATCATTCGGCGGAACAAACGTTTATTTATTAAAACGAACAGTGTATATCGGCGTTCGATCCCGTTTCTGTTAGTATTTCGGTACAACTTTTCTTTACCACCGTATTCATTTATCTTGGCAGACGTACATTAGCGTGACACTCATTAGATTGCGCATTCGTCGATACATATTCCATGCACACGCTTGTTGGAAAGTTATTAACCTACATTTTCTCAGCCTCGTGTCCCATTTTTCATCGATTCCCTCAGTATTCGATTATTAAAATTAGATGAAATGCAAACTGTTTGTTGTAAAAAAAAAAGAAAAACAAGGAATTTGTTTCTAAAAGGAAATCGTGGCACACCATATTTGGTTATTGATTTCATGTTTGATTTATGAGAAACGTAGACAGCCGAGTTCGAACCTCCACTTCCTTTGACTTTTCCTCAATTTTCGACCGGTCGAAATCAATTTCCACCTGATATTGTGGAAACGTACGCGGTCTTGCTCGATACGATGTATACACGTTCCGACATATCGCGATCCAATCGAAAGAAACGAGAACTACAGCCTAGTGACCCGCTTCGAGGTACACCACACTATTTTTACCTCGAACTCGAACCTGCCACGGCGCCACAAAACCTTGCGCGAGCGTTAAACGTCACCATAGTGTGTTTCGTCTTAAATCCAATGAAAAGTGACCTGATTTATAAGCGCTGCGAACAAGTTTCTTTCGAGAAGACTTGAGACAATGCGCCGAATCGGGGTCATTAATCGGTTAATCAATTACTGGACGGAGCGCACGGAGTTTTTCAAGGAAAATCACGAAAAAGATTTCAGAAAGATATATAAAACTTGAGACATTGATTCGCGAATTTAATGAATTTTTCAAGTGAGATCCTCAGCTTTCGAAATTGCTTCGGTTAAAGTTGCAAGTCACGGCGGAGGTTTGGTTTCCCCAAATGTTCACCGCAGACACTGCGGTGTGCTTTATTTCATGACTGACAGTACCACCTGGACATTTCGTGGAAAACGAATTTATCGGCGATTCGTGTATTTACGTCCGGAATCCTTAGAGCAATATCATTTGGACGCTTTCCCTCGCGTGGATCATTAAAAGTTTGCCAGTTATTCGTGCCAATTTTCTGCACAGATCAACTCGGCTACACGAATCGCCTTTATTCCCTTTCTTTCATCGTGCCGAGCAATTATTTGCCGAGTTAAAAATACGAACGATGGAAAGCGTATATCGTATGGCAAAATAGTATCATCGTTGTTTCGGGATATATAATACAAACCACTGGTTTATCCGTGAAAAATTGACAGGATGGTTTAATACGTTTATAAAACACGATCCAAGGAAATTTTGAAATACATTTTTATAAATAGGACGCGAACGTGTTATTGCGGTCGGCGCGAAATGTACAGTTGCTAAGGCCCAACTAATTATGCACTCGCCTATACCGTACACGTGCCATTACCAAAAATACACGCGGTTGGCTCCTTTCAGGGTCCCAATCATGTTTATTATACACACACGAAACACCTATCACGTAGACATATATAACACACGCGTGCACTTGAATCAATCGCATTTAAGAATTTGTCCTGTGATTTTTCTGACGTGGGAATAATTTAATTGCTAACAAATAATCCCTGCTTCTCCTGAATGAAATTTTATTCCCATTAACAAGCATGAAGCAATTCAAGTTAGTTAGATATCGTGTATTAGTGACGGATTATTATCTAGCTAAGCAGTAAAGACAAATTTTGTATCTATGTCTAAAAGACACAGTTCTGAAAATGTTGAAGTGTTACGCTACCGAAATCAAACTACGTTCAGTGATTTATAATCTTGGGAGTGAAATCAGAGTTCAAATTGATCTTTGATGTACAAAGTACAGTTTAGTTCACAGCATGATTCAATGTTATAAAATAATAAGGAAAGATATCCACGTAACAGAATGGATGGTACAGATGCATCATAAAGATGTTTATAGAATATTCTTACACTTTCTGATTGCACGCCTGCCGAATGGTATCACACGCAAAGGATTATGATTAATGTCACGCTAGTTATTACTGTAACAAAATGAAGCGTTATCGGGCATGTTAGCGTGCTGCACATTGAAAGCGAGTCGAGTGAAAATGCGAGGAAAGCGCTCGTGCTATAACACGCCAGCCTATGAAAACAAAGTAACAGAGCTAAAAGTAAAAGCGGACTTTACATAATTGTCTTACCGAAACTTGGCACTCGGTCTATTAAAACGTAACAAGAACGTACAGATATAAGATATAAATTAAAATATCTTTCTCAAGCAAAAGACAATGCTCGATCGAGACGCGGACGTCTTTTTTTAAATGGCGTACAGATTGCTGATAACCGACAACGCGTTATACCCACCGCTTTTGCCAACTCCAGGTGCTCCGATCACAGCCACTTTTACCTCGCACAGCGAGCTCTTCTTCCTCCGAATACCTCTGATCGCATTTGACGTCATACTCCGCGCATTTGTCACTGCACAAAGTGTAAGAAAAGCATGTATGTAGCTGACGCTTGCAAGATGAATCAAAGAGGAATCGTTGCGGAAACAGAAAGGGCGCGTTTCTGCGGTTTCCGTGACGTGAGATCGCGAATGAAAATTTGTCACGATTACATGTTTCCTTGGCTTGGTTTTCATAGGCGTCGATAACAGCTTGGCAAGATTTCCTGTGAAACGTTCGAACACCGATGCAAGTGCCGATGTTCCGTCGTGCTAAGGAAAACACGCAGTCGATGATTTTCAATTGACGATGCGAACGATTGATAAAGTAAACAGACTGAATCGCGAAAATATACGAGAAGAAATTTCGAAAGGTTTCGGACGAAGTTACAGATACTCTCGTTTACCTATCACTAATTTGTACATTCCGTTCTTAAGATTTTCGTGGACGTGTTCGAAAATCGTACACACGGTTCCATTTACCGGGTGTCCCGTGTCTCTCTCTCTCTCTCTCTCTCGCATCGAAATCAAAACGGGACCATCTGCGACGATCGACCGAGGCATTCGCCTCGTGTTCCCCTTCGAACGAAAGTTTAAATACGCCGTGCTCTCGTGTTCCGTCGGTCTCTCGAGTGAAAGAAGAGGAAGAGGAGCAGCACGATGGAAGAAACGACGCGGTGTAAAGAGCGGGAATCGAGGTGCGTGCGCGGTCGTCGTCGTCTGGAAAGAGAAGGGAAGACCTGATGGGTACATTAATAGAACAGTTCGCACATGTCTCGTGGAATTCGAAGAATTTACTCCGGTGTCTAACAATGTACCACACCGCGGTACGTGAGTCGCGTTACGGATCAACCGATCCACTGACTTGGACATGACCGTGTTTTGGTCGCGAATCATGCACCTGAACGATCGATAGGATGATTTAGATAAAATTGGGACAACGGTTTATATTTGGGATTTCTTGTTGGGCTATATTGTGTGTATCTCTTACGATTGAAGAGTTCAGCGGAGAACTGGGGGGAGTGCATTTTCTCAGAAATGAAACGAATATAAAAAGGAAGACAAACGGTAATCATGTCGATGTTGCTACAGTTGAAAGTATCCAAAAATTTCCTACTTATCCACAGCTTCATGTTGTTACAAATTTTGCCAAATTTTTATCGATTTTCCTCGAATTCGTCAATTAAATTAAATATAAATTATATTTCTTCTTTCGTGTATTACTCGAAAGAGAGATGAGAGAGGATGTTGGACGTGAAAAATGATATTGGTTCGAACGTATTGCACGCGTCTTCCAATAACTCGTACTATTAAAAACTCGGCGTTATTTTTATTTCATCGTGTATACTTACTTACCAGTCTAGGACACACCGTTCCTTCAGCATTCCTCGCCGCACTTTCTATCAGCTCGCACGACAGGCGGACATCGCGGATCCCTGTTCGAGTTGTCGTCTCAAACGAAAGGGAAAAAAGGAGCCGAGCGTGCACGTGAACTCACGACGACGATACTTTCGTCCCTACTATCGCTAGTCGCTGCAAGTTCCCTTTTCGAAGACGACGTTGCGAAGGGAGCCGGAGGTATGGTTAATCGGGCGAAACAGGGCAGAAGGGATCGATATTGGAAATCCACGCGTCCCCGATACCAGAGGAGAAACGAAAGCGTCCGATCGAATGTACCGTCGTATCGATGGTGACCGTGTTATGCGTACGTGTATGCGTGCTTCTCACGCGTCACGTGCTTCCTGACAATTTCGCGGTTCCGTTGCGTGATGGTCCGACGCGCTTCTTGGTCTCCGCACGACTGTGCTCTTTCCCCATTCTCTTTTGGCGGCTGGTCGGAGTCGCGGGCCTCCTTTATTGCTCTTAAGCCACGTATATCCACGCGCCGATATCCACTTCCGGCAGCAGCTGCACCGCGCGCCAACGAATAGCACTGGCGTTTCAAAAACTCGTCCACCACATCGTATGCGTTCGACAGGGCTCGTTCTCTCCACGAGCTTTCGAAATGGAGCGGAATCGCGATAAATATTGACTCGACGGATGGACGTGCCACGGCCACTCTCGTAAAAACGAATCGAACGTCGGTAGGTTTCTGCGATTCTACTTTCCGGATACGTCATGCGAATACGAGCGGGATCTGTTTGTAAATTAACGGATTCGTGGAAGAGATCGCTGGATCGCTTGTTATTACGAGCATCGCTACGATGCACTTCGCGTCTGTTCGAGGTAAGACAAGCAAACGGAAAGGAACGATTAGTCGAAATTTATTCGAAATTTTACGCCGGGGCTATGGTTTCTCCAAGCTCGCGTTCGTAAACTCAACGATCGCGATGCGATTTATTAATAAGAATATTCGATGCGACAGAGCGTCCGTTTTGCCGACGGTCTGAGCCTCGGACGACGACGAGTTTAACGTCCTTGGCTAGAGGAGCCACTCGTCAGTTAACCCTTGGCTCTCTTCCTTTCCGACCTCGCCGCACTTCAGAGCCGCTCTTCTCGCCGCTCCTGGACAACCGCCGAAGATCCAATTCACCGCTCGGAGCAGCGCTGGTTTAAATCGATCTAAATCATTGAAACAATTTTTTTCTTTCTTTCTGTTAAATATTCGTCGAAGAGTCATAGCATCTTCTTTTTATCTCTTTTTTTTTTTT